TTTTTTTTTTTTGAGACAGAATCTCACTTTTTTGCCCAGGCTAGAGTGAGTGCCGTGGCGTCAGCCTAGCTCACAGCAACCTCAAATTCCTGGGCTCAGGCGATCCTCCTGCCTCAGCCTCCCAAGTAGCTGGGACTACAGGCATGCGCCACCATGGCCGGCTATTTTTTTTTCTATATATTTTTAGTTGTCCAATTAATTTCTTTCTATTTTTAGTAGAGACGGGGGTCTCGCTCTTGCTCAGGCTGGTTTCAAACTCCTGAGCTCAAACGATCCGCCCGCCTCGGCCTCCCAGAGAGCTAGGATTACAGGCGTGAGCCACCGCGCCCGGCCTAATTTTTGTATTTTTAGTAGAGACAGGGTCTTGCTCTTGCTCAGACTGGTCTTGAACTCCTAAGCTCAAGCGATCCTCCTACCTCGGCCTCCCAGAGTGTTAGTATTACAGGTGTGAGCCACCTTGCCCTGTCATTTTTATTGTTGAATAACATTCCATTCGCTTGATGTGTCACAGTCTACCCATTTATTTATTGAAGGGCATCTTCGTTGCTTCCAACTTTTTTTTTTGAGACAGGTCCCTCTCTGTTGCCTGAGCTGGAGTGCAGTGGTGTCATCATAGCTCACTGTGTAACCTCAAGTTCCTGGGCTTAAGTGGTCTTCCTGCCCCAGCCTTCGGAGTAGCTGGGACTACAGGTGTGTGCCACCACACCCCGCTAAATTTTCTCATTTTTTGTAGAGACAGGGGTCTCCCTATGCTGCTCAGGCTGGCCTTGAACTCCTGGCTTCAATTGATCCTCTTGCCTTGGCCTCCCAAAGTCCTGGGATTACAGGCTTGAGCCACTGTGCTGGCCTTGCTTCCAACTTTTGGCGATTATGAATTATGAATAGAGCTGCTATAAACATTCATATGCAGGTCTTTATATGGACATAAATTTTCAACTAATTTGGATAAATTCTTAGAAATGCTCTTGCTGGATTGTGTAGTAAGAATATATTTAGCTTTGTAGGAAACTGCCAAACTGTTTTCCAAAGTGGCTGTACCATTTTTTATTCCCACCTGCAATGAATGAGAGCTCCTGCTGCTCTACATCCTCTCTAGCATTCGGTGCTGCCAGTGTTCTGGATTTTAGCAGTTCTGAAGATGTGTAATGGAATCTCGTCGTTGTTTTAATTTGCAATTCCCTTGTGACATATGACGTTGAACATCTTTTCATATGCTTATTTACCATGCATAGGTCTTTTTGGTGGAGTGTCTGTTCAGATCACTTGCCTACTTTTCATTTAAGTTGTTTGTTTTTTTTTATTGTTGAGTTTTGTATATTTTAGGTAATAGTCCTTTATCAGATATATGTTTTGCAAACATTTTTCCCTGATCTGCGATCTGTGGCTTGTCTTCTTTCTTAACTGTGTTTTTTAAAGGGCAGTTCTTAAGGAATATCTATCCCCCATAACATGTCATGTCAGGTGAGGGATGACTCATTTCCTCAGGAACTATAAGTTTGTGAAATAACATCGTAAACCACAACTAATTAGTTTTATAACCTAGGGTACACATCTTCTGAGAATGTGATGTTATCTTCACTTATCATTTTAAGGAAAAAAACTATTGTTCTTTTCTTAAATTGAATGTATTTTAATTGTTACTACCACAGATATTCTTGAAATTCTCTTTTTATAGAGAAAAAAATGAATTTCCTTTGCAGAAAGTGAGGAGTGAATTGTTTTAAAATGGGGAAAATATCTATTTCAGGGAATAATCCTCCCACCTTCTGATTTTTTAAGGAAACAGTTGCTAGTCCCAGCTGAGCCGCTTCACTTTTCTGGACTTTCATTTCCTTCACATCTTCCTCTTCATCTGACATATACCCTTCCACTGCTTAAACAGAAATCATTTACCAGTGAGGATACAATGAGGTAAAGTAGAGAAAATGCTCTAAAATTGTACAGTGCTTAATGAATGCACTGTTCTTATACCACAAGAAGTGATTCTTGGGGGGCAGTGACGGTTGCACAACAGTGTGACTGTACCCGATGCCACTGAACTGTAACTTCCACATGGTTACAATGGTAAATTTTATGTTGTATGTATTTTACCACAATTAAAAAAATTTAAAAAGTGACTTGGCACTTATCCTTAGGGTTTGAGGCACCCCATTTCTTGGGTACAGGCACATAGTGAAGCAAGAACATTGAGGACCCTCATCTCTTCTATGTTCAGACCTTCGAGAAAATTCTGGCAAAGCTAGGTCAGTGACATGAGTATGGGAATCAGAGCCTAAGAGTGCTCTATTTCTTCCTTTCTAGATCAGGGGTATGATTTCTTGTCTGCAGTAGTTTCTTTTGAGAAATAGAGAGGACAGGTGTTGGCAGTCAGTAAGTTGCAGAATACACGTGTTGTAGTTGTAAACTCCTCTCTGTATTAATACATATACCCATGACTGTCTAATCATTTCAATACCAAAATGAAAAACAAACAACTTGAAATCCCAGCTGCTGAAAGCTTTCTGTTAGACAGCTCTTTGAGCCTCTCCCGACAAGGTCAACGAGATGAAATAGCTAGATTGGTGATCTCTCTTCCCTTCTCTCGCCACACTCTGGAGGAAGAGCCCAGGGCAGTGGCCAAGGTCAGCTGCCAGAGAGTCAAAGAAGGGAGAGGAGAGGCCCAGTCAAATCCACAAACTGTACCACGTTGGCCCATGAGTTAGTTATATACAACTTAACAAGGAAGCAACAAACAAAAGAACATGCACATTCAGGAGATTTTTGTTTCACTGTCAGTATTTACCTTTGAATAGTGTCCTGTAGTTCAAATCCAAATGAATAGGAAGGGTGCGCTGCAGTTGAGCTTAGGTTTAGTCTTTTTTGCGTTTCTTCGGGAGCCTTACAGATCCAACTTGCTTTTAGTGGATTAGTGGACACACTAATAGACACAGTAGTCTCTGGAACAGGCCTTAGGTGGGAGCTGAGATTCGGGAAGGTGGAAACCACCTGGAGAATGAGTCACACCAGGCTGTCCTCACCCTGCACTGGGCAGGAGCCAGCTGCCCCATGTTCCTGCAGGTAAGGCAACACCTCTGGTTCTTCCAGTTTCCCTGCATAAAGACCATTATTAATTTTGTTGTAAATAATTGTACAGACATATCTCAAGAGGGGGATGAGAAACTAGTTAGAGCAAATGAAGTAAGAATGATCCTTATAGATCACAATAGGAATTTAACCAACTTGAGGTTTGTGATTCATTTATTAATTATTCACATTCCCTTTTTAAAAGATGTAAGACTGGGGGAATCTAGGATCAGTGCCTTATAAATGGCAGAAGTCGAAGCCCTGAGACACCCCCATCCCATCCTCAGTACTGCCCCCTGTGTGCCTCCAGCAACTCATCTATTTCTGCCAGGCTGGGCCTGGGTCCAGGCAGTGAGATGTGCACAAGGGCCAAGAGTGGAAACTCTGGAGACAGACACTCCTGAGTTCATGCACTGGCCCTGCCTTTTGTTAGCTAATTGACGCTGAACTTAGTTCCTGCATCTATCTGTACATAGACTTCATAATTTGTAGCCAGGTGTTGTGAACTTACCTAACAATGGTAGTGAATATTTATTGAAAGCAGTCAAAGGCCCAGACACTATTCTAAGTGCTTGAGCTGTTTGATCTCCCACGATTTTGCTCAGGTAGGAATTCTGAAGCTAGAGCCTGAGGGCTGGTATTTTGGGAACCTCCGCAGTTAATTCCGAGGTCAGTAAGGTTGAGATTCATGGTTGTGTACTAATGTTTACACAGTGGTGAACCACTCAAGACCTTACAGACGAACAGACCTCATTCTAGCGGAATGAGTTTGGCCAAGTCTTTCGACCTCCCCAAGCCTCAGTGTCCTCATCCATAAAATGGGAACAAGAGTAGCATCCATTTCTGAGAATTGTTTAGAAGTTGAAATGAGCCAGTGTAGGTGATTATGTCTGGCATACACAAATGATTTGATAAGCATTAGCTTGTGCCTTTAAATTAGACCAACTCCTTTTTGCTAGGCAACTGAGAGAATCCAAGGACCTTCTGACCTTCGTGCACAGGTCACTCTGTCTTTGTTTAAATTTGTTGTTCTTCCATCCACATGGTTCATTCCAAAGCCCAAGTGTTGGGGAAATGGAATTATTGCGTCATAGTAGAAAAATCTTTGCCTTTGGCCCAACAGGACTGAATTTGAATCCACGTGACTGTTTGAGCCTTAGTTTCCTCATCCATAACACGGGAGAACGATACCCCTGCATTGCTGTGAGAAATGAGATAGTTCATGAAAAGGGTGCAACACAGCATTATTGTATTATTATTGGTGTTTGGTTATAAAATGTACACGACGTGGAAACCAAAGGGCAGAAAATCCTTAAAAATATTTAAACAGGAAACAGAGGCAGAGGGTGGGGAGGGGATGGCAGATGGGGAAAGCAGGGGAGGGCCTGTGGCAGGGACAGCCTAAGGGGCAGAACTCAGTGTCCCCACCGTTCCAGGCTCAGCACTGCGGACACTGGGTACCACTAAACCCGAGAGTGGGGCCAGGGATGGGGGCTCAAGTGCCCTTGCCCCTACTCAGGGTTGGGCCAGAACCCCTCCTCCCTTTTGTGCACAATCTCCCCACATTTCAGCTACAGGCTGGCTTTGACCAAGAAGAGCCCCTGAGATACGATGAGGGGCAGGGGCTGTTCATGGCTTCAGTGCTGAGATTTGGACCAAGGCAGAGGGAAAATTCCTCTCCCCAGACTCCCTGCAAGGAAGAATGGCATATAGCTTGCCACAGACAGGGGCTCATAGTGGGAAATGGAGTCAGTATAAATGCTTTCCAATAAAGCACGGCCAGCTGCCTGGTTCTTAGTTTGCACATCAGTGAATTGCCTGCAATCTCCCTCTTCTGAATGGTTGGAAATTGGGCATTGGTTCCTTTAAATATCAAATTTCCTGTTAGAGTGAGTCATCTGTGTTCTCCCGTCTTAGGAACAAAGTTTGCTCTCTAGTTCTTTCTGTTGAGGATTTTTCTTTCTCTCTTGCTGAAGACCAGATTCTGGTCAGATTCACAGATTCTACTTCTTTTATCTCTTGTGATTTGTTAAAGCCCCGCTGAATTCACTGCTAATTCAACAGGAAGTGAGTCCACTGAAGGTGGCAGAAGAGCCGTGGAGTGATCAACTGAAAGTAAAAGAAAGCTCCTTCCTGGTGGTGGTTTCCTCCTCCCTCCCCCATCTGCTTCCTAGGATTTGTTCTAGTGTGAGCAGCTAGGAATTTGAGCATGTGGAATGAGGTAGTTTAGGGGACTTACTGGCCGTCGTGGTGCTGGGAAAGGGTGAAGCAGGTAAGTGCCTGATGCCAAGTGGCTTCTTTAACAGGAAACCCGAAAATATTCGTGGCTTCACTGGCTCACTCCCGGCAGCTCGGACCTGCCCGACTGGGGACACCTCTGGGGCCTGCCGAGCCCAGCTCTCCTGGGGCTTTCTCTGGAGCCACAGCCACCGGCCTGGCTGCTTTGCCACGCTGAGGGATTCCCAGTTCCTCTGATAACTTTCTGTCCTCAGACACAGTCTCCCTCCTGTGCACCCGTCTGGAGATTCCAGAGAACTTTTTTACTTAAGTTTATTTTCTTTTTCACTTGTCCCTGGGCTAACGAGTGGATCATCTGCCAGCTCAGGATGCCCCTGAGGCCTGCAGCCTTCTCCCCTCCCAAGTTTTGGTACTTCCTTCCCCACCCTCCCCAAGACAGGTCTAGTGCTTTGGTTTGGATCCCTGCATTTATCTGTACGTTTGCAAAATGAATTTTGCTTTGTGTTTGCATGCTATTTTTTACCTCCATGACCTTGGGCAAGTAAGTAATTCCTCTGGGCCTCTGTGTCCTCACCATTAAGTGGGATTAACAACAAACACCTCCTATGGTGGTTGTGAGGCTTGAAGCAGATAATCCCTGTAAACCACTTAGGACACTGACTGGCCAACTAAGTATCAGTAGGCATTAGCACTTATTATCCCATATTAATACTATTTGTATTTTATTTTACTCATCCTGTTTCTTACTTTTTATTTATTTATTTATAATTTCAACAAGGTCTTGCTCTATTGCTTAGGCTGGAGTGCAGCAGCAGGATCATAGCTAGATGCAGCCTTCAACTCCTGGGTGCAAGTAATCCTCCCATCTCAGCCTCCCAAAGTGCTGGGATTCCAGGCGTGAGCCAGCTCGCCCAGTTTTTGTTTTTTTTTTTCTTTAAACTAAGCACTCTGCTCTTCAAATTCTCTCTATTCGACCAGGCCCCAGTTTCTAACCACTGTGCAGTGTTACCGGTTGTACACCCTACACAAATCCCATCCAAGGGCAGCATAAGAACTTGGCTGGTGTGTGGGCCGTGGTGTATGTTGATACTTGATCAGACTGAGCCCTGCTCACCTGCTTCCATGAGGCTTCCATTGTCCTGCCTGCCAATCCTTGGTTGATCCTGCTTGCAAACCTTTGCCAGTGCAGTAGGGATAAAGTGGGCATCTCACTGCTTTGTTTTGCATGGTCCAGGTTACTCGTGTGTGTGAGCACCCTTCCCACACTTGAGCTCTTTGAGTATCCCCATTAGGGAGCTCCGTGTTCACACCCATTGCCCTTCAACAGAGGTTTTATTTCTTGTTGGTTTGCAGGCAATCCTTGTATGTTCTAGACATTGCTGTTCCTGTGGCAGGTCCTGGGGACAGAGATATGAAAGACGCAGTCCCTACCCTCATGAGGCTCACAGCCTTCGACAGGAAATAGTCACGAAACGGTGGTACAAATGCTGGAATGGAGGCTGGGCAGATGCAGGGGAATACTTCTTGGGGCTGGATTTAGTCACTAATAGGATTTCATTCTGTTGCTGTGCTCTCCATAAGACTTACCTGGACAGAATCGAGTGTCAGATAATGGCATGGATATTATGAGGTCACCTTTTCCTAGCCTTCTAGGGTGAACGAGGCACTTTCAGATACTTCATTCAATCCTCTCAGCTATAAGATGGGCCCCTGCCCTCTGCAAACTCTTATTCTATAAGCCTGATCCTACTTGTGGGGATTGGTGGGCAGTTAGGGCAATGGAAGCCACATGAAGCTTATAGACTAAAAAGGCAGATTCGAAGAAGAGAGATGCTTGATTTTCTTTTCCTACTTTTTTTTCCCCTCTAAAGAGATGGGTCTCTATGTTGCTTAGGCTGGTCTGAGCCTCAGGCAATCCTCCTGCCTTTTTTCCTACTCTTAACATTAGAAGGCATCTCAACTAACTCACAGTATTAAGGCAGGGGGTTTTGTATGTTTTGTTTACTGTTATATCCCTAGAGCCCGTGAGGGCCCCAGGGTTTGACTCTATGGTAAGATCACCCTGATTTTTTGGGAGGAAGGCCTTTGGTTTCAGAGATTTTTAGGCTGCTGAAGGTGGGATGTGGTGACGTTGGCGCCACGGAGATCATCCTTGGGCAAACCATGAGATTTGGCTGTGGGAGTCAGCAGAGTTCTACTAACTGAGAACCTTGACGAGGGCCAGATCTCAAGGCCTCTCAGAGGTACCCTATCAATATTTATTGAATAAAAAAATTAAAGTCTCAATGATGAATCCAGAAAAATTCTTTAAAATATTTGATATATGAAAAGAGAGGGTTCTTAGTTATCATCAAGTTCAACTTTCTCATTTTGGAATGTGGAAAGGAGGCCCCAAACGTAAATGACTCACCCAGTCCCCCAGCCAGAACCAAAGCTGGCTGGCAAGGTTTCTGACCCAGCTCTGTCCCCTGTACCACCTGCCTGTGTCATGCAGTTCTAGAAGGAGTCCCAGCCACTCAGGCTACTCAGAGGCCGGCCCTCTTCTTCCTCCAGCCCTCACATGTGACTCAGGAGTTTGAAAAACAGGAAGTACATCAGCCGCAGGCCTCCTTTGTGTGAGGCTTCTGGCGGCGACTCTGATGCGCAGACCGCGGTGAGCAGGCCTGTGAAGAAGGTGCTTTCACTGTGAAGGCCTCTTTGGTAAGGACTTGCCTCTCCGGACGGCCGGCTGGGCCTTTTCGGAGGAAGGCCTTTGATTCTAGAGTTTTCTAGGCTGCGGAGGGTGGGATGGAGGCGATCCGTGTAGTGGGTGTGGATGGGGGAACCATGGGAGTTAGCCAAGGGACTTAGCGGTCCCTCTGAGCGTCTTGCCGAGGGCCCCGCTGTGGGCCGGTTCTCAAGGCCCCTCCAGCTTAGACTGATGCAGTCCTGGGGGGTTCCGAAATGCTCCAAAGGCCGCATCCTTACCCCGGCCAAACTTGTCAAAGAATAGAAGCCAAAATTGAAATCTCAACTGACTTTGTTGCTACAGCTATCCCCTCACCAACACACACACCCAGCAACATACTCATCGGCTGGCAAAAACACACACATGCACACACACACACCCACATGGTGCTGGGAATTCGATTATTTATTTTTTTGAGAAATTAAAAAGATATAGAACAGTCCAAAGAATAATACAATGTGATGCATAAATAGACAAAATCAGAGACCTCTACTCATGGGATTAAGCATTTACAGGTGAAGTTATGAATTTCATTCTGTTTGAAAATTATGGGATTATATGTTTTGTTGAGGTTTGAACGCCTTTACTGGGTTGTTTGAACACCCTGGCTACAGGGCCTTCCTGTGGACAGTGTTTGTGCGCAGAGGGGACATCTGTCAGGTTCGGGGGGAGCCCACAGTCTGGGGCAGCCAGCCTGCATGGGAGGCAGTGGTAAATCTATCGGTTAGGGCTCCAGTTCCCAACCCCGGGGCCGCGGCCTAGTGCCTGCTAGGAAACAGGCCTTGCGTCACCCCACGCACATCCCTGGTCTGTGGAAAAACTGTCTTCCATGAAACCAAGTCCCTGGCTGGGGACCAATAGGTTAGGGGTTTGGGCCTGAGAGTGAGTGGCTTTCAGGTACTCTTGAGCTTCGGATGAGATGCAGATTTTTATCTCAGAAGGTTAATGCAAGTTTTGTTCTCCCTCCCACCTTTTGGGTGGTTATCACCGAAGGAGCTAGGATGCCGCTGGAATATTGCTAGAAAGATTGCTTGTGATTACATGGAATTTATTTGCAGTGAATTGTGGCATAGGAGAGTAGTCGAATGGGATTCTGGGACTCTAGCACTTCCTTTGTAAGGCTCTGACCCTTTCTCTACTGTAGTGGATTTGTTAAGAACTCCTGTTTTTTGTGGTTTTGCTGTTTTGTTTTTTTCGCTCTTTTAAAATTATTATCTCTAAACATGTTATATAATAATTTTAGGTCTTTCTTCATCAAAATATTTCACTGCCTTTCAAGTGCAAGTAGAATAAAATCTAAATCTTTACAGGGTCTGTTATTGAAGCCCTTAAGTGAGATACTTAAATGGGGGCCTGACTTTCTCCTAGTAGCTTATTTCTAAGCTGTGATTTTTCATAGTAATAAATGGGGATGATAATAGCAATTTCTTCAGAGGTAGTAAAATAAGATAAGAAAAATATTTTTATGTTTATATGGATGTATAGGTAATAAACATTTATATTTCATCATATAAACATTTATTTATATCTAAATACTTTGGGACATAAATATGTTTTATGAAATATTAAATATACTTACATAATACAAATATATTTATATCAAGTTATTATTTACCAGATAGTATATAAAATGTGTGTCTTATATGGCAAAATATTCAAATTTGTTTTATATATATTTTATATATGTGAATAAAATTGGGAAAAAGCCACAAAATATGACCAAAGAATTACTTCCAAATGGCAAGTTTTTAAGTAATTTTTAATTTTCTTTTTATACTTTTCTGCACTTTCTCTATGGAACAAGTGTTGCTTTTACTGTCTTTAGGAACAAAATATACAGCAAAAAATGTTATCTTATTAATAAAAATATTAGCTTAACAAAGTTTCTAGCCTACAAACTTGTGCAGAGAATCTAGGGCCCATAAAATAAGAACTACAGCGAGGTCTCTGTTCTTAC